GACGGCCTATGCACCGTCTGGCCAGTAGTAGAAATGTCTGTTTGATGAGGAGTATATTTTTATCATTGGGTAGGCAATAGTGTTGCACAAAAATAGACAGATAGATCAAGTCTGATACGACGTTCGATCATATAACCAAGATGAGTGTCGATGAAGTAAATTAACAGCAGATTCGTGTAGGGAATTTAATATAATGTAAAGATTAATCCGATTCGTTTTCTGTATTTTCCCACTTTATGTGCGCGCATTCTCATGCTAGGTATTGGCATAACTATCCATGTACACCAATTACCAGCAAATGGTTAGGTGGAAATGTTAGATATGAAGAGTAATTCAAGTGTGTAAAATCCGAGCTTCGTCCGAATGGATGAACGGATAATTCCCATGAGTTAAGAACGAATAACGGTTGGGCGTTTACAGATGACATTTGGGTCGCACATGATGTAAGATGAAAGATGCGGTGCTCAATATAGTCATCCCATGAGAATATGGAGCAGAGTTCACATCCAGGTTGTGACATCAGTAAACTTTGAGAGCGAAACCTAACTTTAAAAATTCACCCCAAAAGAGAGCCTGCTACAAGGGTAATGAGAATGCGAAACTAACGCTCAAATATGTCATGGGTAATTTATAACACTTAAAAATATTACAGCTAAGTGGTAATCTCGAGAGCTATCAATTACACACGATCGTAAATCCGAGTACCGGTTAGGTAAGCTGCTCCAGTGCAGAGGTTGAGCAGCCAAACAATATTCAGCCTATAAGTAATGTAGTAGGTCAAATAAAAGTAAATGTCTTATGGCACAGGAGCCTAAAGTCTCTTCCTTCCTTCAGCAACATCATCTCCGTCTCCTTGAAAATATAGGTCCACTGATAGTTTCAGAAAGATTCGTGGACTTTTGCCAGTCATTTATCGGAACTGTGAAGAATGGAGTTCGTGATCAGTAGGGTGAATCAGAGTAGAATAGCGAGGTTACCTAGCATAGGAAGACTGTAGAACCGGCTGAACTAAGAAGCCATGTTGCATGCTCAGAAATTTGATATTCACACGCAGATACTCACCCAACCCACACGGAATCCACTGAATGATTTGGGAGATTGACTATCAAAACAAGATTTCTCAAATAGCTCACGCTGAAGTCCGTCCACTGATTAGCATCAGAAGTGTAGTACCGATAAGTAATGTGACAGATTTCACAAGTTAGAAGAGACCTGATTGTGAAAAATTTGAACTTCAGCAGATTTCCTGTGATAATTACTACAAGAACGTCTGCAATCTCGTCAAACACAAGAGTATAGTCAGAACAATGATTGCTCATTGGACGAAACAAGTAGAGAGTGCGAACGTAGCTAAGCGTGAGCAATGAAACAGTATAAAACACATATGATCTGAGCTGCTGTGAGATAATCGCAAAGTAAGATCTGGAGAAGACAATCTCACTTACCTGAAAAAAATGGACTGTGCAAGAGACTGTATGCTTTCGTACATATACAGATGATCAACACTCAGAGAAGTTGACGAGAGGATGAAGAACAGTACAACCAACGGCTGTTCGACGAAGTACACAAACCCGATTTCCGAAACTGAAGATCTATTCACGGTTGCTGAAGTATACAGTTATACGACTACACATGTATGGCGGCAACAGCATAAAATGGAAAGAGCCAACACAACGAAAGTTCCAGGCGCCATGCTAACAGAAGCGGGCATATGAGATGAGGGAGAAATTAAAAATCAAGCTGCGACACTCGCTGGCGATTTGAGGAGGGAAGGAATAACTTACTGGCATCGTTACATTCCATACAAGCACGCTGTTCACGAATAACGGCCATGCACTCGGCCACGTTGTTAACCGCAACTTCGAGAAGTTGATGCTTATTGTTTAATTCTTGTATATCTCTCATACGAGGATTGCACAATCCATACGGCGGTTGCGAGCTGTACTGTTTCTGGAAATAGAGACCAGAAAAATTGTCAGGCAGTTGTGTGCTGGAACAATGGGGCAGAAGGTACTTATTACAACAAACAAGGTGGTTCACGGCAAAAAAATTATCGTATCTATGACATGACCAAATTTGGTCTTGTGAATCGAAACTCGGCTATGGTAGATAAAAACGAGTGTTTGTGGATTGGAAATCATTGATACCTACAATCAGGTGGCCAAAATCGACGGAATAGTAGGGTGAGCGATCACATGGCACACAAACAGACTATGCTGCCGATAAACAGTCGCTTTTCCAAAATACTCAGAGATCAGTTAAAAAACTCCTCAGTTTAAGCAAGTCATACCTTATGAGTGAACTGATTTCGTGAACGGCGTAACTTTTAATAAATCAACATATTACAAAGTAGATAAGATTTCAAAAACTATGCGCACATACACAGGGGTATGCTTATTATCAAATCTTCGGTGTTGCATCGTACTAAGTAATCAAATCGACTGGAACGTAAAAACCCAGTTACGAATTCATACGGAAGCGTTAATGTGCTTGAGTGACCACGCATCAGTACTTCGGAACGCCAAAGAAAAACATGAATGAACTAATGATGTCCATTTTGTGGCGTATTTGGTGATGGAAGAGGACGGAGCTCAAACTGATGAGGCGGATAGAGCAATCAGAGTGGAAAGTTAAGCTAGCAACCAATCTGAGAAGCGTTCATCGATGCGAATGCGCAGAGATCAATTGGCACATCCTATGTAGCACGCAGTAAATCCAGAAAAAGACTAAATTACGTAGGATGTGATTTGATCACTTCGGATCCTGTTATGTTGCAGGACACTTGGCTTTGTAATATTCGTTGCATTACTACATAGCAGCATAACAAAATCGGGGAGTGCCTGACTTCAGATGATGTTTCAAGTGTCTGATAAAAAGATCGCCTATGAACGGTGAACGTTCCTGAAGAGGCAGAACAATTCCGAAGCAAAAACATTTCTTAGGTAGTGTAATATCGTATACATTTAAATGACTGATCCGACCATGAATGGTACAGTTAACATGGAATGGAACCGGAGGAACAGCTTTTGAGGATTACTACAGATGACACACTGCGTGCTGTTGATTGAAATAAATCGAGCAAATGCAGTGAAAACACCCATATATCGACTCAATAAACCAAGGATTATGTAAAGATGGTTCGAAAAACTTTATCGATTCTGTTGTGAGTCCAGTTAGTTTGTTTCTCAGTAGTTGAACCACAAAGCATCTGCTGCAAGCGAAAGTGAGGCGATTTTCACTACGCAGCCGAAAAACGATAGAGCATAGATCACTGAACTAGAGTGTCATCGATCTACTATAACGTCTCTAGACGTTGAGTTACGAGACGCGTAACTATGGGGACCAACATGATTTAAAGTTCCTAACTTTATTTGCCGGTTAAATGTCAAACGGTGGAATAACGTAGATATAATGGAGTGAACAGGAAGCAACCGTATAATGAGTAGTCAGTTTTGTACCCGCTACTCAGCCACCTCGAGTTCAACATATCTACGATCTTTATGTCCAAAATGGTACAATTCCGAATCTGGCCACTGATTGCATAGACACTTGTTCGACACCGAGTGTACTCGAGTGAGGCCATGATGAAAGGCCTAACCTGGTAAACCGACTGAAAAACGAATAATTCGGCAGTACTTTTCTCAAACCACGACGTATGTAGTTAGTGATTGGCACTCAAAATCTTCGTGTACAAATCTAGATTTAGCTGAGAGTTCAGTTTGTAGATGCGTTCTCAACGGCCGAGAAATTATAAGCGTCAGTCAAACGCACGGAACCGAGCAAAAGTGCACGTGATGTTTACACGGAATTCTGATCTATAAATGCGAGCGCGCGAGCGGCGAAAAAAGCGTGCAAATTAGACAATACAGACTTCGTTTTACCGAACTACTTTTCGTTATAATGTTATTCCAATTTTACTTCCTAGTCCTTCTGTTAGCAGTTTTCGAAAACGACTCTCAGAACACACCATGACCAGGGAAATTCCAGACAGAAGCACCCAACAGCTATAGTAGAAAAGGTGGACATTGGGTTCAATACTGTGTGTTGTTAAGTCGTCCCTTGAGTATCTCACCAACACGTCACGACGTTACAATTACAGTACCTATATATATATATATATATATATATATATATATGGTAAAAATTTACATGAAGAGACCAAAATGTGACAGGTGATAAGGATATCGCCCTAAAGTTCCATTGAACTTATTGACATCGAGAGGGCGGTCACAGATAAGGTCGATGGGTCTTGGATCTAATCAACAAACCAGAAGTGGAAAGTGTTGGGAAAAGGCTTACCCTCCCCCGCCCCAAATGTTTTATTTGCCGAGAAACACGGAGTTTTCATTTCTGACAATTCGAGTGCTGGCCATTCTGTTTGATTTTTAATATGAGCGCTTACATCTGATCGGTTCGTTAGGTGGTCTGGCCACAAGATCGCCAAACACAAACACAGCGGGAATTGTGTTCGTTACTTTTGCCATTGGTTTCGCGGCTTATTGTGATATCGTGTGGTCCACCAGTGATCGTGACACTGCTCGTGGTCCTTTACGTCCGTTCATGAGTTTTCCCCTCAGGTGACACAAGAGAGAGTGGCAAACCTTACAATTTATGTTGAACCGTTCGACCACTTGGTGTCAGTGTACTGTAAAAGTCAGTTACTCATCTCAATGAATCGGGACTATAATCTAGACTTCGAGATCTTGAAATGTGCCTCCCAAGCGTACTTTACTTGCGATGGTCAACTCACTACATCTACTCATCTAGAATGTTGTCATTCTTGAAGGGAACTTCCAGTGTCCTGAGCAACGGGATGCATAAGCTCTCTAATTAATGATTGCTCTCTTGAGTTCTGAACCGGGAAACTGTCACCACTTCGGCTGTTAAAGAAGCATGATTTCAAGTACGGTTAAGTCACACAATAGCATATGGTCTACCAAGACTTTACTGTACTACTACGAAAGTATTTTTTTAAAATGAGACCCAACTGTGAAAAGTCAGCGCTTCGGCTGGATTCCAACTAGCGACAGAAACACTGTGCCCCTACGCGGCAAGCGCTCTACCAGCTGAGCTACGAAGCCACGCCAGGAGCTCGGAAATTTCACATTTGGACTCGGTTACTCACCCGTCCCACTGTCTCATATGGAATCCACCAAATGATATGTTGTCGTCGACTATGAAAAGAAGGTTTCTCAGGCACCCAGATACTAGGTTTCAGTTATCTTTGTGGTGTGCGTAAAGAAACTGAAAACTGGCATAGTTTATGCAGTGTCAGTTCGGTGGCACACAAATCCACCGTCGTCGATCAATCAGCAGATTTCTCGGTTGCTGCTTTGCACTGTCGTGCCCCCCACTGGGCCTTATGACACACGTTCATAACCATATATGTTACATAAATGACCGTGTATATGTCGTCAGGTCGCTCTGACTTGTCCAGCTAGAATTGCAATTAACAAATGGCTGGAAACGCAATGTTTTTTCTAAAAAAGTATCAATGCGCAACTCATTTTACCACAAATTACTTTGTTGATGAACTGATTTGCTTGAACTCAACAGATAACAATTAAATAGGCATTGTATGAGAGATAGCTTTGAACTTGCCAGCTTCGTGGAAAGTGTTGGGGGAAAGTCAATATGTTCACGATGTGGCATGGTGTCTTAGCAACTAGCATTCTACAGCTGACGATAGAATGATTTTGATTCTAATGTTGTCGTAGCACGGCAGCTGCTAGCTGTATTGCAGAAGATGCTTCACAATCGCCTGCTTTATTGCGTTTGATGATGACAAGTGATTGAATTCAAACGTACGGAGCTTTGTTAAAAATGAGGATCATTCCTGCTCTTTTCACTACTTCTAATTTGGAGCAGGTTCTTATTCTCGTGGTCGTATGACAACTATGCAGCAATGACAACCACAAACACACCGTTATCAATGGTGAGGATGGAGATTCGAACATTCAGATAAGTAGAGAAAAAACATTACACTGACCACTGGGATAAGATCACAGATCTCAATAAATTGTTTGATTGCAGGAACAAGATATTCTTCTCGTGGGCCTCGGCTGAGCATTTCAATCAGTTTTTTGATCCATTCTGTTCGATTGATCCAGCCAACTTCCTAAAGAAAAGAACGACAGTGAGCATTTTTATGGTTGAGGAATAAGGAGATTGAAGTTCGGATTGAAGGTGAGGTATACACAAAAATTCGAGGGAGAAAGAATGCTCACATAAACAAACAAGAACTTGGATGGACACAGTTCCTTCATAGACAAACGTTAAAATTACTAATAAGTAGTGTAGAAGATATACTAATTTAGATAAAACTCAATTGCGAAAAATTAGATTTTCGGTTAGATTCCAACCAGCGACAGAAACAGAATGTTCAGATGAACCAAGTGCTCTATTAGCTGAGCTACGAAGCCATGCTGGGAGCTCGGAAAGTCCACATTTGGGCTCAGTCACCCAACTATCTCATTGTCTTATATGGAATCTATCAGAAGATTGAGAAAATCGACGGACTGACAGGATTTCTCAAGTAGTCAACGCCGGAATACATCAACGCTACTGATAAGCGTTGGAAGTGTATTGATTGTAAGTAATAAAAACAGTGAAACTACTTTACCACGCCAATTCGATCAGAAGTTTACAAGCTTGACGAAACTTACTTTTACACAATAATGAACCATTTATAAGACCAGTAAAGAAATGCGTACATTATTGATTAAAAAAAGTGGATAGGGCGGCCTTCAGACACTCAACCTGAACAGATCAGACATGAACAATATGTGTCCAGTGAGAATACAAATAGCCAAGGTCAGTTAGTATCAATCAACCAATTTGGACCTGTTACAAAAAAGGGAACGGCCTTCATTGTCACTAAGTGCATTCGATTCTTGTTACCAGTCGATAACTGGTGACCTCCATTGAACATCTTTCACTCTTCCACTAACCGATTTTCACGCGAACTCACCGTGTCTGTTTCCTCTCTGCCTGACTGACCCTCGTATGTTGAACACAATATGTATTTAGAAAAAAACGCAACCAGTATAAATTCTGAGTGAAAAAACCTCTATTATAACTGTTTATGACGTTCATTCTCGAGCCAGCACTCCAGTGTGGAACACATATGGTCATAACCAGTTCAAACTGACAACCCGACGTGGACTGTGTCCATCCACAGTGAAGGGATGCGAACAGATTGCACATTACATCATGAGTCAAAGCTCCTATCCGTTCAGTTGCCGGGTCTATGAACATCGCCTGTGGAAGAAAAATTAATGTGTATTTGAGTTTTTGAAACTTGTCTTTTAGCCCGTTAGTGTGGATGGACATAGTCCATCTCGGAATGTCGATTTGAATTGGCCACTATTGGGAGATGATGCGAAACTGGACAAAGACTGCCGGAAAGGCGCTGGTGGTTGCGTTGGAGAATCCGGCGGACTGTTGGGTGGTTCAGTGCAGCTTACCTTGGAAAAGGATCGAGTTTTTCGATGACTGTTGCTACTCTGAATGAACCGTTGAACAGAGCACTTCATGAACTGATTCGAGATTTCAGACAGCAGTCACTGATGGGGAATTTCATTGGAGGTCATCTTATGACTGATCCCCAACATGCCGACACTACTCCTGTGGTTCGGCGGGCAGACATTAACTATCTTACAAAACTAATTTGAGAGCTACGTCGATTAGCTCGGTGGACGTGAGTGAGTTCGATAGTAGAAAACCCCAGAGAAGCTTCAGAAGGAGCTTAGTCTCGGAGGTTGCATATTGGGAAGATACGTTACAGCAATACTATACATCGAGTTAACATAGCTCCGCATGCAATATCAGTTGGACATAACTAGTTATCTTAAGAAAATGTTCTATGCAAGACCTATGTGCTTTATGACTTTTGCTCCCAATTTCCTGCCTTCCGGATGCTGGCGGATACCAATAACCCAAAGAAATGGCACCTTCTGATTTGCGTCACCCCTCGGTAGCGCTGCTGCGTGGTACCAAATGTTGTATATGTAGTTATATACTGATCCTTTTTTCTTAGCAGTCATTTAAAATCACAATGCAGTCTTCCAACAGACAGAAGGGAACTAATAATGAAAGGGCAAAACATTTTGGCGATACAAACAACCAAGCTTCGACCACAAATTGAATGGAAGTTTGGTAGCTGAGGCCTCTGATTGGTTGAGACTAGGTTTATCATATCAAACTAAACGTTGAATCGATTTTGCCGCTATTTTTGAAGTTGGGATCTTCTGAAATATTTCCTTTCAACTCCCGGAATAATATCCTTCGGCCCCAATGCACAAACAATGCTATACTGGTAAAATTTTCCAGATGGTTCACTAACAGACCAGGACGTTTTTCTTCCTGCTAAATGCAAAGATAAACTTCGACTTACTTTGGGATCTTAAAAATTGTAAACACAGACAGGCATCTACGCCCTTGTGTAAATCAATATTACACGCAGTCGATCTATGCTCGATCTGATATTTAAACTTTATGGACAAGTATTGATAACGTCAATCCTAGTACACAATGCTTTGCTGACGATGTTCGTTCGTGGAGCGCTGGATTCGTGACCCAATGAAATGGTTAGGTGTTTGCATTCACACGCTCAGGCCAGGCTTAGGCAAACAAATCTATATACAATTCTACATATGTTTTGGAACAAGATTTCTGAAATATTGGATCCGGTTATTTGGTACGTATTTGTCAACGTTGAAGTGCACAAAAAAAATTTACCATAACATTTGCACCGTCTGCATCGACGATCAGTGGGCATAAAAGCCTCGTTTCACATACATGTTCAGCTCAAACACGTTATAAGCTCTACAGCCCATCTGCCTGTCACTTTATACACTATATCAATGTATTAAGTTAGGCCGGAACAGACAGTCTCGGAAATTGTGTATGACAAGGCCTCGAAATATGAAAACTTAGGCATTAACGCTCGTTTCAGTTGAGCAATCCCGCTCTCTACTCTCTCCTTATATGGATACATTTATAACTCGATTTGCTGAATGAATAAAAAAGAAAAATCTATGGAGGATGTGAAGGAGAAAAATGAAGGAGATAACCAGAAAAAATACCAAATCGAATGACACCGAGATTCGCAAAATGAACACCACTTGTTTACATTTTTGTGATCGATTGTTGGCTATAAATATTATACCTATTCCCAATCGTTACACCCAATCAAACAGTACGTTCGTGCAACTCTGTAGCGTACTGCTGCATCTCATCATCTAATACTATACAGAAAAAATGCACATATACCGACCATACGAAAACCACTACTAAACCGCGCAGTTGATGATAGATCTCACTGCAACAGTTTGCTGACGTTGCCCAGAGATGTTAGCATTCTGTCTCAGCATTCGGTATGTTCATTTTATTACGAAACAGAGAATTGGTACAAGTTTATTTCACTGTTGCTCTTGGATGTACCGTTTTAATAGAAAAAAAGTATCAGCTGCCTAAATTAGTTGTTACCAAGCACGTTGACGGATGGTTGAATAAGCGTTTCTGGGCTGTACGTCACTCAACAATTGGGAGTTACTCATCCAATCATACACAGTATGTATAGATAGACCGATCGACGACAAGTACGGCAACAACACGCGAACACTAAATTGTTGAAATTTGATCAGACTGTTTGAGCATCGAGCATTTGATACTGATTGTCTGTTCGTATGACACGTCGAAAGCTTTGACTTTAATCTGGGCCTGCATTAAACATTTTGTGATGAACAGTTGTTCGGCGCACCTATTGTTTGGAGCTTTGTGCAACCTCACATTTAAAGATTAACCACAGATTGTAGGCAATTAGGCAGACTGGTCTGGGCACATTTTGGTGACTTGTGAGTGTGTGTGTCGGAATGATGCTTACAACAAGAAGATGCAACTGAAGGAGTAGAATCAACACAGATCTGCATGAATAACTTTTAATGAACTTCGAATCGAACAATCAAAAACTGACATCACTGCTTAGGTTCTATAGGATAAAGATTTAGTGACAGCATATGAACTGAACATCACTCACAATTGAATCGCAGCTGTCGTAGTCCCATAGACTTTCCAGTCG